ATTTAGCCATGTCACATGTTTACTGGAATAGAAAATAACTTTTTACCTTGTGAATTAATAACGGCACACTTTTCTTTGAGCTCAGCTTCTCGATCTTGTCGCAATGCAATTTCTTCGCCAATTCGAAGCTCTAATTTTTTAGCTCGATCTTGAAATTTTCTGAGTGATATCTAATAAAGGAAAGAAATTTTATGAATTACAATATAAGCATCATATTTAAGAATATAATTTTTTTAAATAAATAAAATCATTTATTGTATTGTAGGTTTTTTATTATATATTTTTTAACTGCTATAAATATGACATGAAAGTGATCCAATGTAAAAAAATTTTCATAGAAATTATAAAATATCCTTACCTTTTGGGCCATCTGGGGAGAGCGCATAAACTTGCGTATAGGGGACATCATTGGCGACTGGTTTAGACATTGACGAATAAACGGTGATTCTGGTATGAACATGGGTAATGTTGGACTGGCGGCATCAGCCATTGTTGTACTGTCATCTGATGACATCGACTCGCCTGCAAAAGCAATTTTAAGATACCGTCAAAAATATTTAATAAATCAATTATCCACATTTGTGACATCATCATCATTCACTGAAAATTTAGTGGAATTAAAACTATAGAATGTTAACTTTATTTTCAATTGAATAAAGTATACTGGTAATATTAGCAGCAAGTGCAAAATTGCAAAAGGTCCGACTGTTAGGTTTCCTTGAAACAAAATCCTATCTCAAAATGTACTGACCACAACCTAGAGAGGGCGTCCACGTAAAAGCTGTTTGTATCGAATGCGTGCTGCATTTAAAGAATGTCTGTTCAAATTTCAGACTTCCAATAGGGCGCCCCCTATCTCGTGGTAGTACTGCGTTTGTTGTTTCATTGTGTGCATGCAGAATAAGAAGAATCCGACTTTTTGCAATTCTATACTCGTTGATGTTAGACATTATATTAGGATGACATCACAGGCTCAGTACAAAAAAGTGCTCATAAGGAAACTGGGGTTAATGGAGAAGACAATGGGGAAAAAAACACAAAAAAACTGGTAGTATGATGTTGAAAAGTGTTTTACCCACAATGGGAAGACATATTAACATAGCTACAACCACAACATAAACAATAACGACAAAAAGAAAATGGTGATATTCAAATCTTGTCAAACATTCCCACCCCACCCCCAAGTTTTGTACAAATAAATATTAAATTATCTTTAGGTCTGGAATGCACATTGAAGTTTATTTCATTGTAAATATTCTCTGGTGAATTCAGTCAGGCAACTATTAAATAACAAACTAAAAACAAAACAAATTTAAACAACTAGAAAATGTATAGTGTGTAAGTTTATTAACATTGAATCCCCTGAATGTGTGCCAATGGAAAAAGTAAAAGAAATATTCGATGAGAATATTACTGTCACATAAAGTATAAATGGACTATACAGTACTCAGTGTGGTTAATCAGATAATGTTAAGTGCTTATAGTAGTTGATATATATTATTAGTGAAAAATGCTACATAGTATAGGACTACTATATAGTTAATTTTTTTTACACTATTATCATCATCAACCACCATTATGCACCATATCATCGATCGCAAACTCATCATAAACTCACCATCATCAATTATCACTATTATAATAAACATTAATGTTGTTATTTAATACTAACCCTCCAACCCTTACCGAATTAGAACTTCAATCTAAACTTGACTATAGAGTATACATTGTGTGTTAGTAATAGTAAGTTTCTCTTATTAATGTAATCACACCAAATTGATACAATAATGGGAATGATTGATTGTCATGTAAAATGTAATATATACATTTTTTTTTTTAATGTCAACTGTAAAAATACTACCTCCGAATATTCCATTTATATGTATAGGGTTGTTTGTAGAGGATTTTCTCATAGATACTAATAACGAAAGAAAAACATTTAAAGAAAACAAAAGTTCATAAGAAATGAAAGAATATTAGATTTAAATAATAGAAAGTAAAATGTGTAAACAAAATAAATAATAAATCATATCTAATTAAAACAAAATCAATAAAAGAAATAAAATAATGAAAAATTATAAATGATACAAGGCTACACTGCACTACTGAACAGAAGTCAGCATAAAAATAATAAAATTTAATAATTATTCTGTAGATGAATCAATAAGACAATTTGAAATGAACAGACACACAATATAAATTCATGTTGACTGACATTGGATACGGGCATGCACAATTAAAAATACGAATTACGGATATGATAATTTTGTTACCTTTCTTGTAAAGAATATCAGCAAAATCATGCCTAAGACTCATGTTTTCTTCAGCTTGTATGACATGTTGAATTATCTCCATCAAGTCCATCTGAGACCCCTGATCAAGCTTTGTGATTGGCTCAACAAAGTTTTCGTTGCTAGGACACTGAACAGCAGCACAGAGCAACAGAGATGTGACCTTTGCCAGTTCCAGTATGTCTCCTTTGCATATGCGGTCAAGCTTCAGGACGGCACTAAGATTGTTGATGTTGTAGTGACCTGCAAAAAAAAAATTACAAAATATCTGTGAGACTTGGTTGACCACCTGAAATCTCTTACAATGAATAGGATTGTTGCAATCAAGATTCAAACACAAATTTTTCATGTGACGACAGTGTGGATAAAACTTTACAAAGCTATCGAAACAGCACAGTACCTTCTAGGAATGTGTTAACCAATCGAAACCTTTGGGTAGGCATGTCACAGTACGAGGTTCCATTATCACCATTTCTGTATAAATAATATTAACATGTTTTTATGAAATTAATGAAGTAAATTTAAAGAAAAGACAATATAAAAACAATATATAAGTAATATTAATATATAAATAATATTAACATGTTTTTGATGGAAAAAAAACAATATAAAAACAATATATAAATATTTAACATGTTTTGATGAAATTAAAGAAGTAAATTTTTAAAAATAATATAAAAACACAAGCAAGTAATGTAGAGCACAAAAATTTTTAATGCAGTCTTCAATTTTGATGATGACATAATTAATGTCGAAATATTGAATCCCAACACGATGGCGTGTATTTCAATACTTGGAGTATGTATTATACTTTCTTATCTTCAATTTTATTGAATGTTTTTAAAATTATCAAATTTTCTTTGACAATAAAAGTGTTCTCCCAATTGGAATTTTTTACCGTACTGGTAAATTTCAACACATAGTCACAGCCTGGAATGATGTTTATTTATTGAAAGGGCAGCCAACGTAGACTACCTTGGTCTAATCAGTGATTTACCAGTTGGCAGATTATTTTGACTGGTAAAATTGAAGGCTAAAAAAGGACACTGTCATATAGGCATGATGTGATGTCATCATGACAATATTTCGGTCTGTAACACGATGTATTTGTCAAATAAAATTTGGTAGTCTAGACAGGAATTTAAATGTATCCAGAGGACTCAAATCATTCCACTGCAAGCTCCTTGATGCCAAAGATGACAATCTGTGATAGTAACCATTTAACAGACACTTACATTATTTTCAGAATTGCAATAAAATGCATTCCATCGTTGAGTTGCTGTAGGGACTCAATGCAATCGCCAACACCAATAGAATTTATCTATATTAAAATTAATCCAAATCATATGTTATACCACAACTGTATCTCTTTTTCTCGTAAATTCAAAAGTGGCTACAGTCAGATCTGCATATCTCAATGTTTGAATGATGCACTGTATATTTAAATTATTTTAACATTTGATTTTCATGGCCTATAATGAAATTCTTTATGTATCTTCATTTTATTTATCTTTTTCTAAAATGTTTCATTCACATTAAATATACAGGCCACTCATTTTACTGAATATAATTTTCAAAGAATTAATAACAGAAATATAATTGAATAAAAATGCGTTTCTTTCTAATATACTGTAAGTCTTACCCAATTGACAAGACATCTGAGCTTTCCTTTATCCAGTGGCATGCTAAAATGTATAGATAAAAAAAATAATTGTAAGTTGATGAAGTAAATGTGCTATTTGCCATCCCCTAAGCTACCTACTTATAATGATCCAATAATAATAATAATAATAAATAATAATAATTCCGGATTAATATAGCATTATAAGTACAGAAAGAATGGCTTAGCCTAACCCTAATGAATTTCGATTGACATATCTCCAATCTGGCTGGATGTGTGTGTTGTGTTGTACTAGCTAGGTTTAGGGTACGCCTCCACCTAGGGTACCTATCCTTCTTTTTCTTTCTTGGCTTTTATTACCTCTGGCTAGTTTAAAATAAATTAAAAATGGCAGAATTTTATTTAGAGGCCTAGTGCTAGCCAAACAGTGATTTTGCCAGACCTAGGGCCTAGGGCCTAGGTCCCTACCTAGTCTGTGCACAATTATTCTATCTAGGCCCTATGGCTCTCCCTGTCAGACGTCATAGACCCCTAGCCTGCCTCGGCCCCTATTCCCAGTAAGATACTAGTAGTAGTAGCCTAGGCCTGCTCAGCTCCCTGGGTTGTTGGTTTGGGCCGCGGTCACCATTTCATATAAATATGGGCCTGTTGTGTAGGCCAGGCCTATGGCTAGTAAGTAGTAGCCTACTAGTAGGCTTTTACATACTTCTCTTATATACTTTGATAACAATAGCATAATTTTACTTACGTATTTTAGTTATTGTAGAATCATCGACAATAATGGGCAAAACTGATCATTTAGCAGTTAGTTTCATATCAATCGCTCACTCTTGTTTTCAAATACAGAGCGCTGCGGTTATCTTTTAACCTTTGTACTGCTTATATTTTGATAAGCCAATCAGCGTCAACTACTCATGAAATGTAACCTTTCGATAGAGGGGGTAAATGATGTTGGAGGTTTCCAATAACAACGATCATTATGCAGTATCTATACTTACTGCTGGTAGTAAATTTTTCGCACAGCACTCTATGAAAAATTAAGCTAGAATTTCAAAATCCAGGACTATTCTGATATCGTACGTTAATGTTATTAAACTTCAGCTATTTAATGTGAGTATTTGCTATAATTTCATCAAATTAAAGAACTATTCAGATCATGTCAGTCCAGAAACAGCAAAACTTCACAGGTGGTGGTAGCCAGAGAGAGCAGACTTTGCTACACAGTGACACTGGTGTCAGGTGAAAGTACAGAATGGAACCAGTGTGCATACTCTGGGTGGAAGTGTAGTATTAGGCGTACAGGCTAGGGCTTTTCCCTGGCCTACTGCTACCCAACTTTTTACAGTATTAAAATATGAAATTTTATTATTTAAAAAAAATAAATATAGTAATAATTAATTGATTGGATGTCGGCCAGTTGTAGGAAAATAAACATGTGTTTTGGCTATATTTCTTTAGTATTACTATTTTACTATTCTATTATTAGGACCTAGAGGCTAGGAGGCCTATAGGCTATGCCTAGGCCTACCTAGGCCTATATTTATTATTAATATTTATCTAGTCTAAACATTTTTTGTAATGTAAGGCTAGGGCCTAGGCTATTGTTAAGTTAAAAAAATTAGGTTAGGCCTAGGCCCTAAGTCAAAAAATATTAAAGAAATTAATTTATTAATATTAATTTTAATTTTATTATTTAAATTACAATAATTGATTAAAAACATAAAAAGCAGTCTTGTATGTACAATACAAATACTATACTATACTGTATCCTCAGTCTCTCATAACAAAACTATTAATAGGCCTAGGCCTATATATAACATAATGAATAGAGCCTGGTTTTCCATTAGCTATGTACAAACTGAAATATAACAAAATACTAATGGGTCCTGGCTTTTAAAAAGGCATGCTAATCTACCTGGACATAGGTGGCAGATCAGACAAACTACGCATAGCTCCTAGCCTTCAATTAAATAAATTTAACAAACACTGTTTTTGGTTCGAGGAGTCGTAATAATTTATGTATGAAAGTGCATTCTTAAGGCTTACCGATACATGTAGGGAAGACTACGTATCCAGCTACACAATATTGTTGGAATATAATAATATATTTCCTTTTATTTTTTTCTCTATGTATAGGCCTAATAATGAGATAGAATTGCCTGACCTTTTTCAAGAAACAGAAACCTTGAATTTTTAAGAACTTAAATCTTTCTTAAATCTTTCTTAAATCTCTTTCTTTATTGGATTTTTTGGGAACTTTCTGAACCCCCCTCCTTGAAATCCTGGATGTGCCCCTGAAATTCTATATATGACCAAACTTTGGATTTTAATAAAAATATTTCTGAATATTCTTCTAACATGCCGCATTAAAATAGTGAGACTGAAGTTCAAGTTTAGGGTCAAGCCAGCTCCACCAATCAACACGCACCTCAGGTTGACGTACTGTAAAATCATTGAATCTATATTTCACAGACACATTTTTATCACTCACAAATACCGTAATTTAAATTTTTGGGCTTTTGAAATTTTTAATCCGAGGACTTCCCAAGTTATTGTTCCTGGGCCAAGTTATTCTTCCTGGGCACAATGCGCTCTTCAGTATTTATTAAATTGGCGGATTCAAGGGGTGGGGGTACCCAGCCAGCCCCATCCCCTAAATTTTTAAAAATAGTTTTTAAAAAAAAAGAAGTTAAGAATAAAAGAAAATCATTCAATTTAAATCGGACAAGAATGCCATTTTCAGCCATCTATAGATAGGTGCCATTCAATATCATAAATTTTTTTCCTCGGCCTGAACCATGGTAGGCAATAATGTTAGTGTTTCCTCAGCCCCAACCATGGTGGGGCCTAGGTGGGTGGACCCTGTATCTCTAAACACACTCTATCTGTGGAAAGTCCCTTCCCTGGGCCCCATCTATTTTCAAATTATTTGATCTGCCACTGAACTTCCTGCAGCTTTGATATTTTGAGCAGTTGTTTACACTTCGATAATTGGTCGAACTCACCATGTTCGTGTTTAGTTTGTCCAATCCAGGTCTGAAGTCTCATTTCTAAAAGTTAAGTACAAATGTGCTGATTCAAAGTCAAAACATTGCATCAACTACCAGCACCTTGTGAAAATAAACATACTGAATACCAACACATAGGTTTCACAAGTTTAGACTGGCAGCAAACATTCAATCTATCATTGTTTGTAGACCAGTCAACATACAGAATGCATGTATAGTAAAACCCCTCTGGCAGACCTCTATTAATAAGACACTTTTTGGCCACCAAACAAGGAAATACAGTACTACAACCCCTATTCTGGGGATAACCCTAATTAGAGGATCGTTTTTTTGGTCCCAAAGATATCCCCTTAATAGGGGTTCTACTGTAAGCGTGGAGTGACTATATAAACTTTTTACAATGCAGAATGAAATGTCTTTTTTTTTTTTTTACAACTGCTGTTTCATGTTCTTCTTTTCCCTGCATGCGTATGGCTCTTAAACAGTCATGCTATGACCCAGCTGTGGCGCCAGAAATTTGCCGAAGAGGGGCCAAAGTGTCTGACGGAGAGGTCCAAACCAAGGCCGACGAGGCCTCGGTTGAAGGCCCGGAATTTTAAAAAATCCCTAGTACTGGTTCATAGGTTGAGTTTTTTTGGCTTATTATGGTCTAAAATGTACTTTTAGACTACAACATTAGGGATTGGCAATCAAATGGTTATTTGAATAGAAAATTTTTTTTTTTTTTGTAAATTGTTGATCTAACAACCTAGTTGTTCGTCGGACGACGGGAGTACAGGTCTGTCAGACAGAGGGATGATGGCGCCACTGGTGCCACCACTGATCTACTTCTGTGACCTAGGCTCTATTTTTTTTATCTTTTTCTGTATTTTAGACACATAGTTTGAATAAAAGAAATTTGCCCACACATAACATTGTTCCTTTCTACCCTTACTACACATTTTTGAGTGCACATTCTCTCCCCCACCTCCTACCACCCCAAGGGTCTTAGACTAGCTTTATTCTAATTATAATAAAGAAAAGTCATTGTAAAAATGGTAGAAACTAGATGGCAATGGATTTGATATAAAAGATTGTATTGAATTTGACCAAAAAAAAAAAAAAAAATTAAAATATATTTTAATTGAATTCGCTTTAGGCTTGCATGTTGAAAATAACGTTTGTGGTTGAGATAAAGCTGCTGTCTGGTTTTTTTTTTTTGGCTGCATTTCAGAGCTCACTATTAATTGTTTCCTTGTTTGTTAATCTGGTTTCTAGGCCGACTGTTGCAGACTTGTAGAAAGGTGCGACTACTAGGATATCCTGGCTGGACCTTGGTTAAATCATGGGCTCGACCTCCATCATGGATAACACAGATCTGATGAAATCACCAAGAATGCCAGCCATTGATGCATCCAATGAGATTACATCTCCCCTGGATTTTTCATTTAAGGGATTGACTGTATTTGATGGTAAGTTTTAAATATATGATTTTTCTCATCTCAGTTTATGGCCATTGTCCTAATCATTGGATTGAGTTTGCCCAGTGAGTGAACAGATCCAGGGTCCAGGAAAATAAACAGTTGTGTCAGCAGTCAATGCCATTAAAGTCTAGCCTACATTTAGCTTCAGAAAGACTATAACCTCACAAAGATCCCAGGGCCAGTTGTGGCACCAGCTAGGGGTGGAGTGTGGGTGGGGGTCGGGGGTAAGGTGTCAGGGGGAAGTTTCCCTCTTGTCGAACAAGCATGGACCCCTATCGAATGTTACCATTTATTATAATTGTTTTTGTTGCTGTTGACGTTGCCGCAGTTGTTGTTGGAATACAGTAGAATCCCTCTTTTGGGACACCCATACTATTGGGGACACTCCTAGGGGACACTTTATTTGGTCCCAATGCTGTCCATTTAATAGGGTTTCTACTATACAGTAAAACCTATCTTTTGAGACACTCCTATTAGGGTTACACTCTTCATTAAGGAGACACTTTTACATGATGTGAGGGGCAACATTTAAACACTACAGCCAACATTAATGCAACATACTTATTAGGAAATTAGTACTTATTCTACCCCTACAGTAAAAATGGGGCACTAAATTCTATTACTGTACATTTTACCTCCCTCCTTATTTTCTCCCTTACCAGATGTCCAGGATGAGGATCCAAGAAAGGGTCAGCATAAGCTAAGGAGGGATAAAGGAGGGAAGTACCTGTGCACATCTTTGAAGTTCAACAACAATGCACTCACTGATATGAATAACTTTGAGCCAGTGGTGGAGGGCCTATTGCTGAAACCGGATGAACTTTTATGGCTGGATTTATCTATGAATGACTTAACAAACATTGATCCAGTAAGTACTATATTGCCTCAATATGGTCATGGTGATGTGACATCATGACCATATGTAGGCACATCATGACTATATATGGGCATACAACTTCTTTTTTTT